CGGCAATTGGCTTCGTTTAGAAATGGAAACGAGCAGGTTTAAGGCACGGGACTGGGCTTGTGGGGGTTTTGCAGCGAGCGCCGTGAAGCCCTCGCCGTTCAAACGCTTACAACGGTGGTTTGGTTTCTGGCTGTTGTGATACCATGCCCCAAAATTGTGGATTTTGTTTCTTCTGCTGCGAGATGGGTGCTTGTTTGCAGAGGGACGAAGGCCAGGCCGACAGCAGCCTCGTGTCTTGGTGCGGGTAGATCCCGTGGCTGTTATTTTTCTAGCTCGTCTCTGATGAGGGTGGAGGTGGCAAAGGAGGAGCACGGAGGCTTTGCTCCCTGCCCCGGTTTGGTCCCATCCCATCCCGCTGCCCTCCGTGGAGCAGCTCAGCTGCAGACTCGGAGACGATCCAGCTCCGGAGGGTCTCCTGGTCCCGACTCCGCACCTCTCCCACCCCGTCTCGGTTTGCTAACCCAGTCCGTTCAGGTTTTGTCACGTCGGTGCGAGGAGTCAGCCCACGGAGGGACGGAGCAAAGGCCGAATTAAATAAACCGGAGGTGAAGAGGGGATGGAGGGAGCAGGGCTCTCCCTGCTCGGTGAAGGTGATGGTAGGGCTGTGTGGGGGTGCAGAGGAGCGTTTGGGGGGCGTCGCGCCAGAGCTGCTTCCCCCAAAGCTGGGGGAAGGTGGGTTCGTGGATCAGATTTGTCCTGCAAAGCTTTCAGACCAGTCCAGGGGAGGCTGGGAGCTTGGTGGTTTCCAGGGACCGTGAACATTAATTCAGCCAGACCAGTGAGACCTGCCTTGCAGCTTACAAATCGGTGCTTTAGTTCCGGCCAATGCTAATTACTTTAATATAATTAATGTCTTCAGGCATCGCCCGGAGGGTTGAAAGCGCTGCAGACAGTGAGTGATCCTCTTTGCTGGAGGTTGAGGACTCCCAGTGTAGATAAACCAGCTGTTCCTCTCGAAAGTTTAATTTTTGGGGGCTGAAGGTGCGGCTCGGAGGGATTTATCCCAGCAGTGGGAGCTTTCCCTGGCCTCTTCTTCCCCCCCAATATTTTTGAGACCTGAGATCTCCATCCAGTTCCAGTTTCTGTAGGTGAAGGATGCTGAAACGGGGGGGTTGGTGGTCTGGGGAGCCACGTTTGTGGGAAGTCCCCACTTCTGTCTCCTTCCCTCTCGCAGGAGAGGGGCTGTTCCCCTTGGCTGCCGTCGGCGGTTCGCTTCTTGTCACTTCGCAGACCGAGACAGGCTCTGACGAGCCAGCCCACCCCTGAAACAGGGGGGGACACCCCTCTCCTCCCTCCCTGCTTCCTTTTGCACCCCAAGTCTCAATCCTGTGAATGACTTTGTACCTCGGTGCCTTCGATCTGAAAATCCTTCTTAAATCCATTTAACTTTCTGTTTCATCCTGCGCAGCTTCGGTTCGATTCAGCCAGGAAAACAAATCCTGGTTTGCGAGCATCCGACGGTGACCGCTGCGGGTTTGGGGTTTTTTTTTTCCCTTTGTGGAAAGGTGGATGTTTGCCAAGGATGGAGGGTGGTTTGTCTGCCGGGTCTCACCGGGGTGGGGAGAAGCACTTCCCATCCGTACAAGGAACAAGCCCTTGCACGCTTCCCCTAAAAAACCACCAGCACACCACCACTGCAACCGTCCCACGGGGTTTTTTCCCTTCCTCTCCTTGAGGAGCAAGCCCTGCAGCCCGTCGTGGTGCTGCCTGTGACATTTTGTGGTGCTGCAAGGGCCGCCTGCCTTCGGGACTCCCCAGCAGCCGCACTCCTCCCCAGACTAGATTTCCACCCTGCCAGACGATGTGGGAAGCCCCCCCTGAACACAGCACGCCGCAATTTTTCAATGCTGTATGATATATACAGGCACCTGGGACAAAAGAAAAAGGCTGCAGGGCTGGGGTTTTCCATGCCCAGCAGGAGAGGAGACCCCAGGCTGCTCTTCCCACACCAAAAACCCTTTAGGTGAAGCCTGGACCGTGCTGGGAAGGTTTTTGCCGGTCTTGTGGGGCTCCGTCTGTAGCAGAAAGGCCCCAACGAGGCTTTGGTTACCAACTGGTATTTTGGTTTTCGTCTTCCCCCAGGTCTGCCCAGGAGATGAAGCACATGGAGAACATGTCCAGCCTGTTACAGGGCGGCAGCCCGGGCGAGTACCAGCGGCCAGATCTCAAATCGGGACGAGAGGCGGGCTCCCGGGGAGCAGCCCGGGGAGATGATCATGGACAAGAAACACTTCAAGCTCTGGCGGCGGCCGATCGAGGGCACCCACCTATACCAGTACCGAGGTAACGGTGCACCCCGTACCCCGCCTGTCGCTTGTTTTTCCTGCGCCGAGTCCTCAGGGTGGGGGATGCCTCCTGCGTCCCACCTAGCCTGTCCTTGTAGGAAAGAGGAAAAAATGGGAATTGTCATCTTTGCGTCCCTCTCTGCAGGTCCTACCCTCCCCTTAGCCCTGGGGAGGGGTCCCAGCCCTGCCACCTGCCTTAGAAAATGCCTTTTCCTGTTAATCTTCCCGCACTGAGATGAAGACGTGTTTGTGCCCGGGACTGAAAACTTTCTCTTTCCCGCAGTGTTTGGGTCGTACACAGATGTGACTCCCAGGCAGTTCTTCAATGTCCAGGTGAGCGAGCGCCTTTGAAACCTGAGTGTGGCCCGTTAGAACTAACGCACAGCCTCTGCCAGAGGGGTGGGGGGCGAAACAGTGAATATTCCCGTCTCTTTATACCCCTTACGTGATCTAGAGCCGATCCCGATATAGATCAGAAGCAGGGCGAGTTATCCCGTGCCATCATCGGGTTTTTCTGCCCGTGCCTGCTGGAAATGCAGGATCGGCAGGTGCGG